GGGTTAGAGGCTGTAAAGTCCAAGATCCTGCAGCTGCATGTGGTGAGGCCTCATTTTGCTTCATCTTATGATGGAGAGAGGAAAAGCAAAAAGACAGAACATAAATAAGGGACAGCTTTACTTGGTAACAACTCAAGGGTCTCACCACCTCTCAAGTTCCCACTGTGAACTAAGTAGTCTAAGAATCAGCTTAGGTTGGGTCTTTTCTGTCAAATGATTTAATCAGTACCGACCACTGTTACAAATGTTAGTCTCACTAACTCATTTTTCTTATATGCTTCATAGACTCTGCTTAACCTAATAAATGTTTCTGTTAAGAACAAAGGGTTGTTTTCCTTAGCCAGGCAAGTTCCTGTTTCTACTAGATGCCCTGGTTCCAAAGTTGATAACCTGACAGTTATTACTTCCCTAAACTTTTGAACTTTGTCTCCAGAGCCCCTTTCCCTGACCTGTCCCTTTTCCAATTAGCCATCTTGAAACCTGCCCAATCCAGGCAAGGGGCAGGATTGCATTAAAGATAAAACCTGAGAGGACTTCCTGCCCAGTGTGCTTGTTTACCAGACTCTGTCAATTTACCTTCTGCAGAAGTAAATTTTATCCAGCCCAGTGACTTCCGAGTTGTGTGTCCCCCACCCTTTCTCTCTCTCTCTCTCCACCCAAATATCACGAAGATGTTTCTAACAACATGAGGATTCCATATCACCCAGGGGACCATGGAGACCCCTTCCTCAGGGAGATGCATCCCACTGCCTTCTTGTGGTGGCCCCAGAGGTGGAGGAATCTGCTATCTCTGTGGCCAAAAACAAACTCAAAATCAAAAATCAGTTGACAACCACACAAAAAGAGGGGCCAACCCAAATAAGTACTGCAATGACCAAACAATTCCATACACAGACTAAGGTAAAAAAAAATCGTCTCTCTCTTGTGACACCCCAATGTATCACTATGGGTTTCAATGGGTACAAGCTGTACTCAAATCATTGTATAACTAATTTTCGATGCTTCTCTTTGTATAAAAAAAACCCAACTTGTTCATTATTAGTAAGCTTCAAAATTCATTTCACTACCTACTTCATCTGTCCAGCTAGAAATCTCTGAGTCATCCCTCCTTCTTTAACCTCAACATTTCACTGGACTCCAGTCCCTGTCAGTTGGAATCCCCATCATGGCTGCTTCATCTCCCAAGGTCCCTGCCTTGTAGTCAACAGGTCCTTATTGTTCGGGTCCTGAAATACTGCAGTGAGCTACTCTATGACCTTCAGTCTATACCACTCCTTTATCTAATTTTTAAACAAAATTAAAACCAGAAAGGAGCATAGTCATCTCCCACAGACTGCCAGCCCTACGGCCCCTTTTTTCAGGCCGGAGAAGTTTATTCTAAGACAGGTACCTCCTCTGCCTCATGCCAGGCTCAGGCCTCAGGGTAAGCCCTGTGCTCCTGTTTCCTCTGTATCCACAGTTCTCGGCAAGGCCACTGTTGAACTCTTGGTGCCCTTTGGGCACCCTAAACCTCTGAACAACTTGTTCCCCCTCCAGGTTCCTAGAGAGGCAGTATCTGCCTGTTGGCCTAGACACTGCCCTACTTAACCCTAGAAGAAGTCTACCATTCATTTCTCTCTCTAAAAAGGAAGGAAATTAACAATTTGATGAGCTTGATGGTGTCAAGCTGTGAAAATAAAAGTTTGTCCCACTCACATTGCAACTTCTCCTTATTGCCACTGTGACATAAAAAAGGAATTAACTCCTTTCAAGTTTGACTGAGGGATGAAGAGAAAAGGGACCAATATTCTTTTTATTGGATAGCAAGAATGGCTTCTTAGCTTTTTCTAGTGTTTACAAAAGGGATGAAAAAAACTGTAGGGCATGGAATGGTTATAGTAATAAGCCACCTTGAGTTTTAGTACTGATTTCTGTAGTTCAGACAAGAGAGTTGTTGTTAAGAAAAAGACCACATTTCTTTTCCCCCTTCAATCTTACTATGCTGAAACCTTCCTTCTTAATGTACCAGAATTCTTTTCGTAAAATAGCAACTTGATCTTATTGATCCCCTGACCTTCAGAAAGATCCTAACTGTCTACCTCCTATGTGGAGCCATCCAGCACCACCCCAGTCCAATTTAATCTCTCTCTTTCCCCAACTGCTGTTTTCAGCATGTAGCACGAGGTCACTTGTGGTAATTATTCTATCTCTCATATTTTCTTTCCTACCCCTAATTAGCCTCAGAGTTTCTAAACACTGAAAAGAGCTAAAAAGCTTTCCTTGCTGCCCAAATGTCCTGTGAAGACAGCGTTCAAATTCCAGTGTGAGAAAACAGCTTTTTTCATCACATAAACAAAGGCAAAAAAAAAAAAAAGAGAGAGAATGCCCTTAAAGTAATTAGCAAACTTTGCTGAGAGGTCTTTTACTTATGGAATAATTTTACTTGATTTGTTTCTTCACTCAGATGTTCAAAAAATATAGACTGAAATGTATCTCTCCTGTTAAATAGGCTAAATGAAAAATCTCCAGTTACCTAGTAAAAAATCTGTGCACTCTGTTGGAAATATTAGAAATAAAATTATTCCAGTGAGTTTCCCCAACAGCTGACTTGTGGTAGGTTAAATACAGCAGTTGACTCCTGATCTTTTCTACATGGGGAACACATGGGAAGTGGTAGTGTTTGTATAACGCACTGGGGTGAGTGGGAAAAGCTGCTCAGTTGAGTGAGGTCCCTGCCATCTGAACATTATAGGAATATCTGTGTCTCATTCAGGGATCACAGTTTGGAAAGCCATGAAGAAACCACACATTCAAAATTATCTCACATCATTTTGTTGTTTTGTTTTGGTTTTTTTGGCAATATTGGGGTTGAACTCAGGGCCTCATGCTTGCTAAGCAGGCTCTCTACCACTTGAGCTACTCCACCAACCTCTGACATCATTTTAATAGTAACAACCAAAACTAAGAAATGCTGCCATCAAATCATCTCCCTCTCCACACTTTTGCTTTCAATCTTGACAGTGATCAAGGTCACAAAACCAGTCTTCCATACTCAGAAGTATGCCTCATTTGCACAATCAGTGAAATATTTTTGAGTTCTGTTGCTCTTCCTCCATCAACTTCCCTTATTTAAAAAAATAGAAGAAAAGGACACATCTTCTCACTTCTATGGGTTTCAGATTTGTCTTCTAATGGCTTGTGGTCAAATTTTCAGCATGCTGAGCTCGACAGAAGTAAACCCTTAGCCAGAGTTTAATCTGGTTTAATGATAAACAGATTCAAGCAAGTTGCTCAGAGAGCTATCCTGTAAAAAGTATCTTCTCCAAACTACTTAAGTGCTGTCATTAGAAAATAAATATGCGACATTTCAGAGTTTTTAGGCAAGGCACTTTTGTCAGATACTTCCTTTGCCATCATCACGTGAGTAAAGACACTTCTATTTTAGTAATTTAAACATCAGCATTTTCTGTCCAAGCTAAAACGAGCCACCTAAACATAGGATATGACCAGACACCAAAATCACTCAGACCTATGTTTTATTTATTACTGCCTGGAATTAAGATACTGCCTACTCACATGGGGTTCTTTGTCCTGCCTCCAGGCACCATGCACTGGAGAGTTTAGCAGCAAGAGAAGATAGCATTTAGAGATATGTTGAAGGCAAAATCTTTCAAATAGCTTTTGGGAGCTAGATACATATGTCTTATTGAGGGATGGAAGCTAAATAAGTGACCTAACTTTGGACACTTTCCAAGTACACCTGAAAAATTTAAGAACAGCCAGTTTTGCTGTGGGCACTCACTTACCTCCAGAAGTAAATTAAAGGAACAGAATTGGAAACTGCAGGTGGGATAAATTAATTGTCTTCCTGGGTTATTGATAATGCCTAAAGTGCTTTGTAAACTAAAATTTCTTCATAAATACGTCATTGTAAATACCTCTCTCTTTGAGAGTACCAAGATTAATAATGGCAAAAGTGAATTAAGGAAGCAGAGTTGGATTTTATTTTTCAACAAAGAAAAAGAAGTCAAATTTGTAAATGTTGCTTTATAGAACCAAGCAATAAAATCTCAGCAGAGAGACAAGATTACTCTAATGCAAAGCATACCTAATTGGATCATTTGTCCAGGTCACCTCCCCTGCTTTCAGTGTTTCTCTTTGCTTTACAGAGGTCAGAGCTCACACATGTGGCCATGCTCTCCTCATGTTTGTGATTTGACTCTTGTTAAATAGTACAGGTCCCAACGTAGCTCCTGCTAAATTATTTTTAAGGATCATCTTACAATTGCCATACATTTTCTTGGTTTCTGTGAATATTAAGGAGGAATTAATAACAGCTAACATCTATTGAGTCTGTGTCCATATTAATCATGGGTTATATGCTTTCCATACAATCTTTACAATAATCTTGTAAGTTATGTTCCGTTATTGTTTTTGCTTTACAGGTTAAAGAAATTGAGGCTTAGAGGCATAGAGTAATTTACCCAGTGATTCAATCCCACATTTATCTAGTATCCAACTTCAGGCATTTGCTATGAAGAAATGCATTTGGCCCTCTATATCTGTGGGTTCCTCATTCTTGGATTCAACCAACTGCATATTGAAAATATTCAAAAAAAATCACATCTGTATTAATCACGTACAGTTTTTTGTCATTATTTCCTAAACAACACAGTATAATAACTATTTATATCACATTTTATTTGCATTGGTTATTAAAAGTAATCTAGACTTGATTAAAATATAAAGAAGGATATGCATGTGCTGTTTTATATGAAAGACTTGACACAGATTTTGGTATCCACAGGGGTGAAAGAATGTCCTGACACAACACCTCATGGGTAACAAGGGATGTGTATACTGTATCTCTGCATATGTGTTTGAAATCACCCAGTAAAAAAAAAGTTCAGTGGTAGGAAACTGACAATATTGCAGTGGCATGGCCTCTTGTATTCTCTTTATCTCCCTCTTCTTCCAACTTGGCCTCTCCTCAACAGTTCCCTTCATTTTCTTTTCCGAAGGCAAATATGCCATGCGAGACCTGGTCCACAGGCTTCCGGGTGGGAACAACAGCAACAATGCAGCAAGCAAGGCCATGTCAGATGACACCGTGACAGCTGTGTGCTGCACCCTGCATGAAGTGATCACAAAGAACATGGAAAATGCCAAGGCCTTACGGGATGCCGGCGGCATCGAGAAGTTGGTTGGCATCTCCAAAAGCAAAGGAGACAAGTATGTTAGATGCTGACTTAATGTGTCTGTGTTGGTAGGACTGGTTTTGTCGTTGTTTGTATTTTTGGGTTTTGGTACACTTGAGGCATGTCCCACCCTTTCATTTGTATTTTGGTTTTCAGACAGGATCTTGCTAACTTTCCTCAGACTGACCTCAAACTCAGGATTCTTCTGTCTCCACCTCCCAAGAAGCTGGGATTAGAGGCATATGCCCACAAAGGGACTGGTTCTAAGTGTGCCTGTCATCTCCTGGTTATGGGTGGCACTATTGAATGTCACTGGAAAGCATTTGTCTCTGGTAATCAATTGAAAGAAATAGCATATAGTTTCTGTCTTCCAACCCCACCAGGAAGGCTGATTCTACTGATAATTTTGTTTTGATAAATAACTTGTGATTTAGTGACTGCTGTGATATTGGTAAAGTCAACTTGACATTCCAGCTTGCATGCTAATCGTTCCTTCAGCACAGAAAAGAAAGCCAGTTGAACCTGGGTTCATGAGATATCTTGTCATTGTTGTCCCTCTGTGGTCACATGTGTGAGTGTTGGTGGATACCTGTTCCTTTGCTCTGTTGCCTCTTCATGTTTGTATAGCAAGAGTAAGGATAGGGGGAAAAGACAGTGTCATGGAGCCAGAAAGAAGTCTGTTCAAATCCAGTACCTTTTCCTATTAGCTCTGGGATTTGGGGCAAACCATTTAATTTTAGAAGTCACTGTGCCTATACTTTATAATCCAAAATTGAGGGAGGTCTGTCATAATACATTTCCTGGAGTTAGTCATAATCAAGTCTGAAAAAATGAATAAAAATTTCCAAGGAGAGTGGTGAAGAAGGTCTTTTTGGCAAATGGAATAAAAAGAGGTAAGACTTGGTGTCAAAGCCACTGTGCCACACCACAAATGGAATGTCTTCCAATGTGATTTAAGAATCAAGGGTTGCAGAGGTTCCAGCTAAGTGGAGCTTGGGCTCCTGAGCTGCAGACACTGTGGGATGATGAAATCCATGTTGTTTTAAGTTACTGTGTTTGTGGTCATTCGTGACTCAGTAATAAAAAACAAATATCCAAAAAAGGGTGTCTTAGTGTATGCAACTGAAAACTATCTTCACCAGGCCAGGGTGTTAGTATATCAGTGAGCTATCAATTTTTACAGAAACCTTCACTAACCTTAATTAAATTTTGCCTTCTGGAAGTTCCTCAGTATAATCAAAGAAGATTAAAAGGATAAACCTTTGGTTATCAAGGACTTTCTACTTCCTGATTTTTCATTCCTTTACCTCTAAATGCTAAATAATTTCCCTTTGGTTATTAAAGACTGTGAGGAATGCACTTTGAGACACTCTGGAAATTCTGTCTCATTATTTCATTTAATTCAGTGTATTACTGATGTACTGTAAAAGTTTCAGGGTTTTTGTTTAAACACTCTGAGACCTCCAAATACATTCAAGCAGCAATTCAACATTAGGATTTGAATACCATCCTGTATCAAGGAGAGAAACCCCATTGGACTCATGCAACAATTGTGCAATTTAGATTGTTGCTTTGAATTATATTTGTCTGACGATGTTATAGTAACAACAAAAAAAAACTATCCCATGTAAGCAGGAAGCAGTGTTCTTCTCCAAATAGCTTCAGGAGACCTTCACGATCTCCAGTTGACATGCTTATCCATTTTGAACATTAAGAGCTTAATAAGTTATTGTTTTTAAAGGATGCACACATAAACACGCAGTAAAACCATAGTCCGCAAACACCCCATTTGTCTACAGTCATGAGACATTGGAAGATTAAAGTACATTCTTTGAACTTTAAGACCAATGAGCCTGGGGAGTAGTCTGACATATATCAATTTCCTTCAGCCATATGAGTAACCTTCAGCAGTAAGCAGCTCACAATGGGCCTTAAAGAGAAAAGACTTGGTGAAACTAATTAAAAAATCAATGAGGAAATAGTATGACATCCTTGTTGCCAGTCCAGGTACTTGCCCTGTTAGGTCTGGTCCAAGCTCAATTATTACTAATAGGGAAATTTTTTTCACTACAGATGACCTCATAAATGTCCTTTAATTTCACTAAAAATTTATTTATGGAATAGTCACTTGTTTCATCTACATATGTTTTCCCCAATGTCAAGAGCCTGGATTAATGAGTTTAATAACAAGTGTTGCCCAACTTGAAGTGTTGTTGAATTAAATCAAGCCTCTCCCCAGTTATAGTTCTCCTGCTTAGTCAGTGTTTGGCATTTTTTTATGTACTTTATCTCTTTCATCTATATACTTACTAACTTAGGAACCAAAATGAAGTTTTTATAACTTTGCATTTCCTACCTACTCACAATTTGGTAATTGTTTTCACTGCTCTTAAAACAAAATGAATCCGAGAGATTTGCTCCAAATCTTAGCATGAAACTCATCATTTATTGCTCAGTTCTATGATGACAGTATGCACTGAGATACACATGAATTTCTAGACTTGTTTTAATAAAATAGAAATTCTTTATTGGAAATAGACTTTTTGGAATTGGTATTGATTCAGTAACTGGAAATGATAGAGATGTCAAGTCACTTTAGTTGATTTATAAAATGCTCACAAGTACATCCACCCAAAATTGCTCTTAAAAAACTTAATCCCGGAAATCAGTTCAAATCTGATTTTTACTTGATAGAGCATGGGAAAGCATGCCTAGCTCTGAGTCTTCATTTTATGTATTTATAGATCTTACTTCAAATATGTACAAGCCTAGATATGAAATGATGTTAATGAATGAGACTAGTACTTACAGTCATAGTGTTAGGGACCACTCCACTCGCTGGGCCTTGGGAACACAGCCAAGGGGACTGGTACTCTGGGATCCTACTGCTGGCATGACTGAGCTGCACAGCCCTGAGGACTGACAGCTTCAGAGAGCCCTGATTTGACAGCTCTGGCGAAGGTCAGACAGTGGGTGATTGTTACTGGCTCTTATAGGAGTCTCATACTCACCATTCTGAGTCTTGATAACTGATAACTTATTCTTTTCACATCATTTTAAACATCCTTATGGACATCTATTTTGTGGCATTTTTTCAAAAATATAATTTTCTGACTGACAATTATATAAGAAATATTGTTGAATGTGTCACTTTATTTTGTCACAAGACGGGAAAGCTATCAACAGCCTCCACTGTTACTTGTCAGTGAAGAACTGTATTGTGGCTTGAGTTATAATCACTTGTCACATTAGAAACACTCAATTGTGAAGTCTTTCAATCAGTAGTTACAGTTTTTCAAGTGGATTTCTCTTCAATACCAGTCTAGTAGATGGATCAAAAATAAAACCAAGGAAGAAACCAATGTTTCTTTGACCTTCACATGCTATTATAACACTATGATGTATTGGCATTTTAATTGAGAGGTTAAAACCTGCTCTTCATTACACACAATCTCTATTTTGTAACTAAGCAAGAAGTAGAAACAAAATAACAGACTGTGTCAGAAAAAATTTTTCATACTAAATGTTTCTACTGCACTGTCACTACCTGAATATTAATATTACTCTAGGGTTGCCTCTCTATTGTCATAGTCAAATCTCTAGCTAACAGTGATAAAATACAACAAAACAGAGCATTTAATCTTTGTTTCACATTGATTATATAATAATAAAATGTACCTCTATCCCTATCCAAGAAAAGATTTTAAATTCTATGTCTTTAAGTCAAAGGAATTTAAAAATACCTTTGGACCAAGATATCATAAATTGTGAAATAATTAAACAATGATTCATTTTGGTAAGATAAAATAAATATTACTTTAATATTGCTAATCTTTCAAAGAGAAAAAAATGAAAATTTATATTAACACTATATTTTTCTTTTAAAGTGCTTGATATAATGCAACCAAAGTTAAACTCCATCTCAGAAATAAGTAACTGTTACTATTGCCCTTCAGTAAATGAAGTAAACTTAGTCTAAATTTTAAACATGTAAACCTCATGAAATACCATGCATTTTATCAGCCATTGCAAAATGCATGTCCTTCAAGGGTCCATTTACTTTGGCTCTCAGATCCGACCTCAACCATCTACTGTCTGCTCACTTTCTATTTCAAAGGCCGCTTTTTCAAAGGCCTCATTGGTTTCAATTCAAATATTGTTTTCAGTGGCTCCATCACCCCCTGCCTACCAGTCATATTCAGAGTTGGCCATCACCTTGGAGTCATCATGAGTGGAAACACCCTGTCCAACACCAGGAGTCACCATTCCAATGGTCCACAAACCATAGCCCACAGGCCAAGTCCACCCTCTGCTTGTTTTTATAAATAACCTGTCATTGGAACACAGCCACATCCATGTGTCTAATGATTTATGACTCTTCACGCTACAGTGGTAGAGTTGAGTGAGTGAGATCGTATGGCCCCCAAAGGCAAGGATATTTACTATCCGACCTTTCACAGAAAGAACAAGTGGCCCTAAAGTAGAGCGCAATGGCCATGACAGCCACTAGAATTGTGCAGCTTGTTGTGAAGTCAGCCCATTAGAATAAAGAGTGCCAGGTCATTAACAGGATCTGTGATCACTCAGGAGAATAACCTGCTAGAATTTGATTGAATGGAATCAACATATATTTATTGACTGAGTCTCTGCTTTTAGGTGTGAATTAGCCCTGAACCAAAAGGCAAAATATCTAGTTATATTTTCATAAAGATTTGAGAAAGAGTTAAGAGGCTCTCTCCAAAAGTTCCTATGACCTTGGTTACTCACTGGTGGCACTATGGTGCAGAGAACAGAACTTGGAGCGCATACAGGGCTTTGTTTACAGATTCTTGTTCATGTGCATTCATCTGCATACACAGAAGTGTGTGCCATGTCACACTCACTGCCAGTCTCCCATTCTTGGCATCAGCAGCAAGTGGAGGACAACTCCCTGTGATGTGCGGGTGTAGAGAGCAGACACCAGCTATGCTCTTGCACTTCAGTTGAAACTATGGATGTTTGCTTCTTATTATCCAGGTGTCACACAACACTGCCATCCAAACCCCTGAATCCAGCCCTTCCTTTTCACTTCCATTCTCTTTCTGCTCCATTTTGTAGTCAAACACCAAATCTGCTTTCTCAGTAAATGCCACTGCTCTTTGCATTGTGAAAATTCTTTGTAACACCTTCCTGTCTCTCACCCTTATTAATGTGTTGATGAGACTGGGGATTGTACTGCCCAGGCTGAGAGCGACAGAGTCAGAAAAGCCAGAAGGATGTGGATCTTGACATTTCCTGACAAGTCAGTGTGGGTTCTAGCCAGCTGCTACTCACCACCTGCATGTCCTGTCTTTTCTTTGTCAGACACTCTCCAAAGGTAGTCAAGGCCGCATCTCAGGTCCTAAACAGCATGTGGCAGTACCGAGATCTGAGGAGTCTGTACAAAAAGGTAAGGTGTGTTTACCTTCTTGACTCATCAGTGCACATGGGCCCCAGGCCCAGAGACGTGATAATACCTGGCCATACAAAAGGCATCACAGGTGTGGAGAGTACTTACCAATATGCACAGTAGCAGAAACAAGAGAATCAATGAAGCAGCAAAAAGAGGCCCTAAATGTCTTCCCAGTTCCATGAGATTTCTGGACTAAAGAGACCCACACTCAGAATCTTACCCCAAATCTTCTTTCTTGATTCCCTAAGGTATTATGATTTATTTTATTTTTAATTAACCTATAATAATTACATGTATGTATTGGACACAGTGTGACACTTCAGTACAAGTATATGTTATGTCATCTCAGGATATTTATCATTGCTTTATGGTAGAAGCATTCAAGATTCTTCTAGCTATTTTTAAATAAGATGATATAATATCATAAACTATACTAAATCACCTGTTTTCCTGAGCTTCTGCAAAAAAGTAATACTCAGGGATTTTGGAAAAAAAAAAGTTTCGACAAGTTCATCAAGTAATTTCGGAGAGGAAATAGAGAAACAATAAAAAGCCAATGAAGTCAAAAAGTATTTCAGCTTAGGAACAAGGAATAAAAGACCCAAATGCCTGACCCATGTGCTTAGCCCCTGAGGTTTTCTGCACCTTGCTGCCGGGTGATGGTCCCACTGATCACCATTGCAGGGTCTTGGCATTTCTCATTAGAACTCATATTGTGCATTAAAAGGAGTCTTCACTCCCAAAGTGGCTCAAAAATAAAGAGCAGAATGCCACATGTAGAGATTTGGGTTCTACACCTTATTTCCAAATGCTATTAAGTAGAGGATATATAACTTTTCTTTTTTGGGTAGGAAGGGAGAAATTTTTAATGATATCTCCCAGAAGCTATGGTTTTGCTGTTACTATTCCAGGAAGAATAGATAATTTGGGTTAGAGTTAATAAACAGGGCAAGAGAACACGATGGACTCACAAGGAGAAGTACCAGGATTCAGAAAGCAAAAACAGGGCTGGGGAAGACAATGGACCTCCATCAATGACTGCAGCCACCTGGCTGCACATGGAGAGAGAGACCAAAGCCATTGCACTGATGCATCCATTCCCGGTCACTAGCCTGGCTCACACTGACTCCTTGGGCAGGAATGTGGGGCCACAATAAGAGTCTGACATCACATAGCATGAGAGCCATCTTGCCAGAGGGAAATTTTATATTTTTCTAAGTCAATGGGAGAAACTAAATATTTAATAACTAGCTCTACTAAGTTATGGTCTATTTTTAGATTTCCCCAAGGCCTTCCTCCCTCCCTTAATCATTCATTACTTTGCACTTTAAGTTTATAAAGTTTAACTTATACATTTCTTTCAAAGTTTTCCTATTCCCTGAGTGGTGGTATGTTTAAGTTGAAACTGAGATTCTAAGTGTTCACAGAATGTTCGAGAGTACTTATATCTCTTTCTATGCATTTTGCATGTTATGATGAGCAAATATTTTTGGGTTCTGTTCTGTTTTGCATGAAATTTGGATCCCAGTTTCTCTGCTTAGTTCCTTCTTGAACTCCTCCGGGAGCCATGAAGTCTCTACCAAAAAAGTGTCCTTCGGCTACACAGGCAGCCAGACATGAAGCTCATGTAATAAATTAGAGAGGAGCTGGTGTTCTAAGTCAGTAGCTCCAGAAGCTCCAAGAGATATTATTGCCTCAAGTAAACCACTTTCACTTGGATTCTGAATGCTTCCTTTCTGTGGAAATGCACCTGCTCACACTTATGTGCATTGAAGGGAAACAGCTTTCAGAGACTCTGCAAGCTGTTTGTTGAACAGTAGCACAAGTTTTAACCTTCTTTTTTTCTTTGTTGGTAGTAGAGTTCAAAAAGTGTAATTGTCTTTCTATATCCATGAAAATAAGAATGTGTTGACAGAAATTTAATGGAGCTAAAACTCAAGAGCTAAAGATAGTTTAAAATGTATTTTATGTGAAGAGCTTCAAGAAAGATGGGCTGAAGAAATCAATGTGATGTTTTTAGTTGACCCATGATTAAAAAATGTTGAGAAAGAGCTGTTCTTAATCATTTCCAAATTATGCAGTTGTGAAATGAAACAAGGACCTTTGTGCTCTGTGTCATGAGTGTTGTTAATAGCAAAGCTCAAAATTCAAAAAAGCTTTCTATTTGAAAGGCCTTCTGTGAGAAAACCAAGTTCTTTCATTCATCCCCATGATTTGTTTTTAATCAGTGGGGAAGTAGATTTCTATTTTGTTCTTCATTGACAATTTACATACCATCAAAAAATGTCTGATCCATATCTTTTAATTATCCTTTAAATCTATTTATTACACAACTATTATAGGCTTAGCAAAGGAACAGTTCTAACGAAAACTCAAGACATGGACACAGCTTCTGTGGGCAAAAAATGAAAGATGGAACAATTATTAGCAACTTCATTAGAGTCTGAAGTATACACATTAGGATTTAAAGCCTGAATTAAGGGAATGAAAATTATAAGGCAAAATCTTAAAGAACATTTAACGTTTGCATATTTAGGAGGTAAGCAGAAGTACATTATGATAAGCAGGAAACCATGAGAGGGGATGGAGTTGAGAATGGTGGCTGTGAATGTCTGAGACAGAATCTGGCTCCATCCATCACTGGCTCCTGTCCTCCTAGAGTCAGGAAGGAAGGCCAGGAACTCATAGCCTTAGCATGACTGCTTTATTTTACTGAGAGAGACACATTGAACCAGCTAGAATATTCTTCCAGATGGGTGTTATGACCAAAGCAAAACTGCAGTTGATCCATGACACACATTTGAAGCCCAAATATGTTTGTTATCTGACCTTTAACTTGAGGGAGGCCTGCCCCTCTGTTCACCTAAGAGAAAATAAACAATTGTGGAAGAAGCTTATGACATGCAAGGTAAATAATGCATCACCTTTCAAAACACTCCTTAAGTTTAGATACCCACAAAGAGAACTACATTTTATTATCATCTGTGTCATTTTAGTGAGTGTTCCTAAGGAAAGGAAGGAGAACCTTGGGAACAGAGAGGAAGTAGGGGTCAAAGACAAACAAAAGCTCAAAAGTACTTGATCTTTTAGAACTTCAAGACTTAAAAAAACAAAAAAGGCCACTGATGAAATGAGGTGCTTATGTTTGAATATAGTTGTAGATCCATGGGATACCTGGGGGACAGGGCACAGAATTAAAAGATACAGAAATCACTTAATAACTGATACAAGATCACCAGGAAATAGTTCAACTAGTTGGGACACAGACCAAGTTACTCTAGCAGGGAGACTCAAAACTATGGAAGGGCCAACTAAACAGCTGTCTTTTCATGGAACCACACCCAGTCAGGAAGGTAGCCCAGGGCCACCTGGGGCCTGTCCTGTTGCTCTGCAGTTGTCCTTGCATGTGTGAGCAAAGCTCTCTATGTCTTCCTGCTTCTCATCTCAACCCACAAAAAAGGAGAGGGAGGCAAAGGATTCAGGAGCCCCTGTCATCACTGAAACTCAGCCCATCACCATAGCTGCAAGGAGACCAGGAAAAGTGGTACGACCCCTTCAAAAATTATGTGGCAGAAAAAAAAGGCAGTCTTGGCTCCAGGCCTCATTTACTTTTGTTCAAATATCTTTAATGTTGATCACAAATACAACCTAATGAAGTGTATTATTCCGTTTTAGGTCAACTATGATTAGCTGAAACTTCTTGCTTATATTAGGGACAAATTTCTTTATCTGCAACTTCTGTCTCCAAAGTCACCCTGAACAAGTCCAATTTCCCTTCTCTGTGACAGCTGTCCTGGCTTTGAGACTAGCTGTCTGTCTGCAGGAGGTCATCATTCCCCCCTAGGCTAGACATGCGGAGTGCTAATGCATCAGCGTGACCACAGCCTTCACCATTGCTGTTGCTGTTCTCGTAGGCATGCAAGTCTACATTCCTTGCATGATGCATAGATGCTCCGAGTGTATTTGAAGCAGAGGAGGTAGAGGGAGGTTATGAATGCCCTAGTGCTGGACACTCAACTTCTGCTAACAAAGCTAGGCATCAGATTTGTGCCTGGAAGATTTGTCATACTATTTGGAGAAATCAAGGAGCCTAGGACTTAGAATCAGACAGTCCAGAGTCCAAGGTACAGCCCTGCCTCTTCCTAGCAGCATGACCTTGGGCAGGACTGTAAGAACTGACTTTGGGCAGCTGCTGGTGAGGGACAGGACAAAGTAAGCAGACTTTTGATGGACGAGGTTTCATAGTCAGTGCTCAGAAATGTACTGTGTTGTTTTGCATCCAGTTTTTCTTACCAGGCAATCTTTAGGAAATTAAATAACCTCTTCAGATGATCCATGGCAGTTCTTGTACCAGCAGAATCTTCTCTGTCAGCATCTGGACATACTCTAGGGACCCTGGAGGTTTGAAGGTCTGGGCCTCCATACATGATGCCTTTCTTCTGCTTCCTGTATCAGAGTTGCTAACTTTCCTCAAACCCCTCATCAAAGAACATTCACAGCTTCTCATGGAGACCAAGGGCATCTCTCCCTCAATCCCATCTGTGCTTAGTGTTCTCATGTGTGAAGTAAAAGCCTTAACACCTGCCTCACTGAGTTGCTGACCATCTCAATAGCAATCATCAAGGTGCTTTGTGTCATAGAAAGTCATATACCCATGAGAGTTCAACATATTTACATTTTCAGAGCAGTTTTAGTTTCATAGAAAAATTAGGAAGGTTCAGAGATTTCTTATATATCTCCTGCCCCAGACATACCCAGACTCCCCATAATCAAGATCTCCCACCAGAATGGTATATTTCTTATAGTCAGTGAACCTACATGGACACATCATAATCGTTTCCATTAGGATTTACTTTAGGTGAGATCAGTCTATGGGTTTGAACAAATGTATACAACATGTATCACACAAAGTATTTTCACTGGCCTAAAAAATCTTCTGTGCTTCTCCTGTTGAATCTAGACTCAAATTTACACAAGAGTTAGCACATAGTTTTTAG